TCAAAAATCCAAGTGATTGTTCATTAATAGTGACAATACCAGTAATTCTTAGCGATTAGTCGATTGCAGGTTGCAGCTGGTGTTCGAAAAAGTTGGCTCTTCAATAGCCGTTACATCTCTGACCAACGTTCTGGGCTTTGCATTCGGATGCATTGCACCGATTCCTGAAGTCAGAATATTTTGTGCTTCGGTTGCACTGTCTATGTTCATGGATATGCTTTACCAAGTAAGATTGTAGCGTTCATGTCTATCAAAGCTCTTGAAAATTTTTATCAATCACTCTCAAATTTATGAACTGACCAATCCTCTGTAACGATTGAGAAATACGGCTGATATCGTGAATGCTCATGAATTTTCTTCAATTTCAGTTTGCATTCTACGCACCCCTTCTAGTGGTGTGTGCTGAAAGGCAATCAGTTGCATATGAACAGGTGAAAGTTCCAAAGAAGCCCGACGTGGATTGCACGATTAAAATCAGGAAATTCTTCGCTACTCTTATCAAATGTTCGTTTCAACACTCTTTATTTTGACTGATTTCGACTGATTGATTCAAATCACCACTAAAAAATCATTGCATCAATAAAGCTAACTGAAAAGTGTTCAGGAATCGCTTCTGAATCGCATAATTGATCGAAAAAAAACTTCAGATTACAGTAAATTCATTGCTTCGTTATGGGCTGAACTGATGTTCGTCGGAGTGATGATAGCGTATTTGTACATCTCGATCTGCGGTATCAAAGCGTTACGCACTGATATGGACGGTTCAATGTTGTTGCCGAGTGATTCACAGAGTAACGAAGGCATTCGTATCATGAACGAAGTGGTAATCATTATGCGTGCTTACGACTCCTGATCGGACTAACTGAAAATCATGAAATCATGATTGTAAAAATTCATTCAGCTAATCTCTTGGAAGTTGCTCTCTTCACTGAAGCGCCACTAATATCTCCATGACTCATAGCCAATTAGTACATATCAGTCAGTCAATCAATGGCCCACCTTCTACGTTGTTCAATTACTTCTTCAGAAAAAAATGAACTTTCAGATTTGGCCAGATTATTTGGGCATCAACTATGTCATCAGAAATCCACCAGATTTCTCGGATCCACTTGAGTACAGGAAATTCGCAGTGAGTTTAATCAATTTCATT